TGTAAGCTTTGTTTGCTGGATTATGAATGAATTTCTAATTTCCCCTTCTTTTCACGATGTATTGTAAAAACTATTATAATAGCGTAGATAGACGAGTTTGCCAAGGTACATCCGATAATGCCTTCTCCCACAAGTGAATAAATTGTCATGTCAGTGAATGAATCAGAATGTTCGATTTTAATTACTTCTGTGGTGGTCCCATCATTTAAATTATAGAAATAATTAGTACCCACATAAAATACAGCACATATCACTGAATGTTTTTAAAGCTCGGCTATCATTGTCAGATAAGAACGACGTGACAGTTATCACCGGATTTTAACGACAATTATTAACTTCGTTATCCTATTCTCCATTAGAGAGACAAAGAATTATTTTTTTTTTCATTTTGAAAGTCAATATTTACTCCAACAGACAGTGACACCTGCTTTTTAAAAAAATAACACGCGTTAAATCTTTGCTGGCGGAACAGTGAGGTTCTTGCATTAATACCCGGCATAACGCGAATTCAGAAACAGGGGAATGACGATGAATACAGAGACACGTAAAGCTGCCATACAAATTAACATCTTGTAAAAAAAAGTGACACAAATTGTAGTGTAAAAATGCATTCAAAGAGAGAAAGAATTTAAAACATAACATTTCTTGCTCACTGATTTTTTTTTTACTCGTGTGATATTTCTTTCAAAAGAGAGGAGGGTCGTTTGTGAAAACATTTAGCGCAAAGACGCTTCTGTAAAGAGACGTATGATCACATTCATGGATGACTTTCAAGCATCCTTCCCTATCAGAATGCAGTCACGTCTGTTGGTGACAAATAACGCGACTTTCTGTGAAGATAATGACCAAGCTATGTCAGCAACGACTTTCTCTTCTATTCCGTCAACAGAAATTATTAGCGGCGACGTTTTGATCATTTTCCAAGTGACTAATTCAGTTGTCATCTGCGGTTTTCTCAGTCTTTTGGGCATGGCCTCCAACATCATCAACATTGTAGTGTTCACCAAACAAGGGTTTCAAGACAGCATCAACATTAGCCTTATGGGTGAGACGGCTGTCTACGTAATGATGAAATGTCGTTACTACTTCATACCTTGACAACTCGCTACCTTAGTATTATAAAGTTCTATCTGACAGTTTTGGACGTTATTATTTACTAGGACCATTATGTCAGAGAACAAAATGTTCTATCTCCTCATTCAAAATCGTACGGTATTCAAAGAATTGCATTTTAAAAAGCTTGACATGACCGTTGTGTACTTCCAAATAATTGTCCATGTCAAATTTCTCAAAATTAGGCACTGAGCAGATAGAACAAAGGATGTCGGGAAAAGAACGCGTACACAGCCATAAGTAAACAAAGTATTGGATGTTTCAGATCTGTATCAGAAATGCTAAACGTTATTAAGTGAGGGGTGGGGGTCTACACCCTCAAAGTCCCGATTCGATTCAAAATTATGGAATTTGAGTCGTAGGCATTATTAGCTTCCTCATCCTTTCCTACAACTATTTCATCGCATAAGAACCCCTAAAAACCTTATTTCTCTCCATACATGGCATGTTTGTCACCACAATTTCGTCGTATTTAAGTCAATATTTCATTTTTATCTTTATCTGCCGTTTTCTCAAAACCCGATTTTTCTCTATACTTTTTTGAAGAACTCCACCATTTTTTATCCAATCTTCATGAAATTTTTCATCGAATGAAGAAAAGATGTAATACTAAACATTTGCTCCTGGGTTTTTTATATATACAATATATTTTTGTTGGTGGTGTCTGGAGTGTGGAATGTTACGATTTTTTTTTCGCATACTTGAATATTACTTAAGGAAAATATTCATTAAACCTTTCTAATTCGTTTAGGAAAAAAACATCAGACAAATTTTTAGATCTAATGTTTGTTAACTTGCATGTAAAAAAAAAAGCAATTGGTTTCCATGAAAAATAAATGCAGTATTCATTACGTAAGATTTGTAAACAAAATCCAATATGCAGCCGAATCCATGGAAACGAACCTTTTCTCTCAAACTTGATTCCTTACTATGCTTGTTATATGTGCAAAATTTGGTAAAATTGGTCCACAAATAAGCGAGATAGCCTTCAGGTGTAGCCCTCCCCCCTTAGTGCTACAAGGCCTAAACTTGCCGTTGCCGAAGTACTAATTGCAGTGTAGAACAGTAATATCATTATTCATACCACCACGCCAAACATGGCGACATCCGTGACATCACACCAGACATGACGACCCTCAGCGACCAATTATCGGAAGTAGAAATGCGTAAAGTTGTGTGATTTTTTTGTTGGCAATCAAAAGAAGAGAATCTCAGAGAAGGTTTTAACCAATTCGTTCCTTCGAAATGCGTACATGTACTTGGTGAAAAAGGCCCAGCATCAATGGTGCATTTGTTGAGTGCAGAACAGACAGAAATGGTTGACGACTCATGAACCACAAATGGCAAAATCAGAGACTAACATTCACGGAGTTGACCTACGTCTTTGCAACAACAATGGCGGGTGAAGATTAGAAAGACTGCAGCGGCGATTGTTTTGTTTTTTTAGATTATATTTTTAGTTTCTGTAAGAGTATTGATGCATTTGCAACGCAGTTAGGTCAAAGAAGTGCCAAAAATTAAATGACAAATAAGGACAAAAGACGTTTGATAGGAAAGAAGGCGCAAACCACACCACAGCACCCACTGCGACTTTTGAGCTCCACAAATCGGTCATTTATGACATTGTCTGTGAGCAGCTGGGGCTTCGTGCTGGGTCGACTCTATGCGCTCCGAAAGTGATAGAATTTCGACGCATTCGAATCCAGCGCCATGGTCCGAAGCAACAACAGCAACAGAATTATCCCCACCACCACCACCAAAAACAAAAACAACAGCATCAACAAAAATAACAGCATCATCAACAACAACAACAATGACAGGAACAACAACAACATCGCCACTACCACTACTACCTACAGCAACAACATAAAGAACAACAACAGCAACAACCGTAACAATAACAACAACAGCAGCAGCGACAGCAACAAAACAACAACAAAGCAACAACAAAATAACAACAACAACAACAACAACAACAACAACGACAACAACAACGTAAAAGTGTCGACTCAATGAGGTCACAAAGTACACCGACCCAAAGAGACGAAGACGTCAGAACGAGGCCATCATTCTACAACACTACAATGCTTCTCCTCTCACGGCAAATGTGTCTAATACGCACTGCTCATTGTGGGATCGACAAACAAATCGCCAACCGATCACTCCGATTCGCGGCCCAAAAATAAATGCATTTGTCTTTGAGACTGCGAGTCGGCGATCGGTTTGTGCGACGATGGTTGCGTTGCGCCCCCAATCTGGCTAGCCCCATCTCCCAAACTGGAACTACTGGAACCGAACCTATTGTGCAAATATGCATCCCCTTATAAATAACTACACGTATAACATTTTCCACATAGCCCTGCCCTTGTTCCATATCGGACTTTATTTTTTCTGGCCTTTAAAGCTCCGAGTCAGCATGAACATCTGTCACACGTTTTGAGAAACAATCATATTTAACCCAAGAAAGCTTTTCAGTAACTGCAAGGCCCTGCTTTAAGCGTATAGTTTTGACAAAACAGAGCGTGCGTTGAGTAGTAGCATAATAATACAGTCTTTATCGTTGTTCCTACCAGAAATCATGAAAGGCAAGAAAATTGCACGCATTGAATATAGCCTTAAACTGCGTTTTGGTAGCGTTGAAAGGTACATCTTCAATAGAGCTTTAGGACGGTGTAAAAGTCGAACATTCTCAAAATGTGGACATGATTAAGTGAATTTCTTGTGATAGCGACGAATGTGTCTCTTTCTTCCTACTTTCAGGCTTGTCAATATCTGACCTGTGTTCTCTGGTGACGATGCTGTGGCAAACCATCTGCAGCAACCCGCTGTTCTACATGTCTGAGTTTCCCTTTGACGCTGCTGACGTCATGTTCTTCACGGGCTCCGTACCCCGCGTCCTCTTCTCCAAGGTCACCAGCTTCATCACCGCCTTCATTGCTTTTGAACGATGCCTGTGTATCGCTTTACCGCTCAAGGTCAGGATGATCATCACACCTCTCAAGACAAAGTTCATAATTGTTTCAATCTACGCTCTCATGATCCTTATTCCCACTCCCTACTACGTTGGGTTTAGACTTGGGTGGGTTTTGGATTCTTCAAGAAACTCTACGATTCTGAAAATCTCATATTCTGAGGAGCAAAAACACCTGGAGGCGATTGTATATCTGATATACGGTGTGCTGCTGTCGATTCTTTCTTTCGTCTTCATCATCTGTTGTATCGTCGTTCTCGTCGTCAAACTTAATGTCAAAACAAAATGGCGACAACTCGCTTCATCCCGTGGCGTTCGAAAAACAGAAGGAGTCGCTGGAGCTAAGGAAAGAACAGTTGGAAAAATGGTGACCTCAATATCCACCATCTTCGTCATCTGTAGCATGCCGTCCATTTTCCTTATTTGCTATATGGCTATTGAACATGTTTGTTTACTTCAAGCTGAGCTCAAAATACCGAGCAGTATTTCTAAAAACGTTCCTGAACCGGGTAGAAAAGTAACAAATTATTATTCAAGAGAAAAAATATCACATTTTATCTGGTTGCCCGGCTGGAGATGAAGGGAAATAACCGAGGAAAACGTCACCATGGGAATATTTTACTTTTAAATAGTCTGAACGTTGGAGCGGTATTCGATGCACGTATTACCTAGGAAGTCAAAGACTTATGATCAGTCCTCCATTAGAACTTTCTGTTGCTTTTTTTTGTTAATAAAGCCACCTAGGGAACCTAAACAAATAGGTAGCGAGGAAAGATCAGGGATGTGTAGCATTTCTAAGAGCATTAGAGCAAAGTTATGAATGGAGAAACGTGATCGCCGATGTCTGTAGCAGATCTGACACAGGATGATGATGATCATGATGATAAAGATAAAAATGTTTGTTTCACCGAAGCCCAAGTGACACATTATGTTTTTGTTATGGTTGTTGTTGTTGGTGTTGTTGTTATTGTTGTTGTTATTTCATAGCCAAAGCCAGCTCCTTTTCCAGTCACAGCTCGAGGTGCTACTGCTGCTTTGATGGCACTTTTCCTTGCAGTTGGCTGCGCTGTGCATGGCAGGGTTTTGTAGCAGTCTTTCTTTCCGGCCACGGACATTTCATAGTGAAGTTATCTGATTTGAGCATGGGTTAAGCTCAATGTCTCTTATAAGGGGACGGGGATTATGTGCCAGGCTATGACAAACGTCTTTCAAAGATGCATCACGAAATTTGCTGAGATATCTTTAGATATTGCGTTGGCGGTATGGGTGTTGTCAAATGTTGTTTTAGTACTTGTGAGTTTTGGAGGTGGTAGTGGTGTAAGGTAATAGTAATACTACGCAATGATAATAATGATGGTGATTGTTGGACAAATCCTAAATCAATCACTTGAAGACACCAATAACGTTGTTGTTAACAAACTCTCTTCCTCGCCCTAGTACACTGTCGTCTTCTATCGCACCATTTGAGTTTGCTTCTCACCTAGACACGGAATCAGGCGCTGTACCATCTACTTGACATATCTATACGGGGTGCCCACTACGGCTGGATCGGACCGTCCGCCCGACTCGATCGCCTGAAACTGAAAACAAACTCGTTTATTTTTTAGGCGACCGAGTCGGGCGATCAGACCGATCGACCTATCCCATCCGTAGTGGGATGCGTTTTGCAGTGGTGGTTCATGACGTCATGACCTGTCTTAGAATGAGCCGGTCAATCCTGTCGTTGGCCAAACTGGGCCGCCCTGGTCGAGGCCTGTCCTGGACCGTTCCTGTCGCTTGCCATCGGTCTTGCAGCTTCCATATGACTGATGGGGACACCTCAAGTCGATGTGCAATGACTCGGAAATTGGAACCGTCTTGGAGCCAGGCGAGGGTTCTTCCTCTGTCGACATCAGACAGTGAGCATAGTTGGACCATCGTGTTGTAGTGGAACATGGCCGAAAAACGCTGGCTTATAAAGGGTTGCAAGTGAGCGATATTCACAGCCAAGACATCTGTTTAGCACGTGCCAAGCTCAGTTTTAAGCACCAGTCTCTATGCCAATGTTGCTGAGACAGAGAAATTTAGCACATTTTTTATGCCTTTCGGGTTTCGGCATGCTCTGTGCCGTCAGTGTGAAGTTCGTGTGGGCAAATTTGCAGTACAGGCAAACCGTGTCTAGTTGTCAGTGCGTGTGCCAATTTTGGTTGACTCAGCTTAACAGTTTGCGAGATATTGAAGTTCAACTTTGACAGGTGAAAACACAAGTTGTTCTTTGACTTTTTTGTGAGAGTTTATAATATATATATATATATATATATATATATATATATATGTTGAGTGGGTCAGTATGTATGAAACATTACATTGTGTTAGCTGTCAATTTTTAAAGAAAATGTTGATTAGTAAAGTCTTTTTACGTGAGATTTATTGCTTTATAGTTCTGAAGTTCTTGAAACTGACATTAAAAGCCCATGTAATATAATAATTTTGCGTGATCTGCGGAAATAATTAAGAAATTCAAAACACGCTTTTCATGTTAGCTACACTGACTCTTAACGAACATTAGAACTTTATCTGTATTGAAACCTGTTGAATGTTTGTGGTACATGTGTAGATTCCAATGTCATCATTAAAAGCGGGAACACCGTTAACTCAGCTTGTATCATGCTGGACTACGGAGCGGATAGCCATGGTTCGAAGCATCTTAAGTAAACGATGCTCAAAGGGTCATAAACCTTTACAATCTTGTATGTAAACCATTTTCAGTTCCGGGTATTAAAAAAAACCCCAGCAAGATAGACAGGTTGAAACAATATAGAGAAAAGAGTAGTACCTGACATTGGTGGCTTCCAATCTTTATTAAAGATGTTGAAGATGATAATCACATCAAGTGTATCGCTACATGGATAATGAGATGATGATGATGATGATTTGTACTCACCGCTCCTTTAAATATTCAGACATTTATGTACGCACTTTAGTTTTTATAGCCTGTGTATATGATGATGATGATGGAGATATTTCCGATATTGTCCAAACCACACCAATACGTAACTTATAGTGAACACTTTGTTGCTGTGGCGTCATCACCCATTTATTTTTTTCTCAAATACTATGTTCCTGATGAAGCCTTATTGGCGAAACGTTGAACTGTGAAATATATATTTATTTTGGAAATACAACAAGGTCTTAACTGTTTTAATACCTTCTTTATACAATGATGATGATGATGATGATGATGATGATGATGATGATGATGATGATGATGATGGTGATGTTATATTGGTCATAATAAAACTGGGAGGTTGCAGAGTGTAAAGATAACTGACTTGACAATAAAGTTCAACAGTAGTATGTTCATTTCAATCATCATGCTCTGAAAAGTTACCACACAACCCAGGAGCAGACGGTTTGTAAAAAGGGTGTGGGTGAGTTTACGAATGGTGAGGTTGAGGCTGTTTCACTTTCATGAAGTTGTTTGCTTTTAGTCTTCTAATCAAAGCAATAATAATTTGCTGATAAATAATTTAGTAAAACTGAATGTTGACTCCCAAGTTTTAAAACAAGTATAAAAAAATCTTTCTCATACCACGACACGATGACCACAAGTAGCCCTACAGAGACTGGGGATCCCGAATGTGCGCACTTGCTCAAATACACTCCGAACACAGGGTGGGAGTTTACTTGTTCATTTATACCAAAAGCTACACCGAAGCAGCCCCATTTCTGCTGCCGCTGTTGTTGCTGCTGCTACTACTACATTTACTACTACTACTACTACTACTACTACTACTACTACTACTACTACTACTACTACTACTACTACTACTACTACTACTACTACTATTACAGCTGCTTTTACTACTACTACTACTACTACTACTACTACTACTACTACTACTACTACTACTACTACTACTACTACTACTACTACTACTACTACTACTACTACTACTTCTTCTTCTTCTTCTTCTTCTTCTTCTTCTTCTTCTTCTTCTTCTTCTTCTTCTTCTTCTTCTTCTTCTTCTTCTTCTTCTTCTTCTTCTTCTTCTTCTTCTTCTTCTTCTTCTTCTTCTGCTTCTTCTGCTTCTTCTGCTTCTTCTGCTTCTTCTTCTTCTTCTTCTTCTTCTTCTTCTTCTTCTTCTTCTTCTTCTTCTTCTTCTTCTTCTTCTTCTTCTTCTTCCCCCAAACGCTTTAAAAAATGGACGAACCCAGACATACCGTTTTAAAAGTAAATGGAAGAGAGAAGACAAATAAAATGAAAGGTGGACAAGTATAACACCCTACAGAAGGAAATAAAAACATGCAAAGCACCAAAAGAAACATGGATGAATGTTCAGTATGAACAAACAGAGGAGAATAAAAAACACAGACAGCAAATACGTGCACTCCAAAATCAAACAAGTAAGACCGGATGAGCAGAATGCTCAAATATAAGATGCATAATAAGGAGTGGAATCGTTCAAGTCGATTGTCTTCCGTATATTCAACCCGTTGTTTTGATAACGTCGACGTTGGGTTTTTTTTACACCTCTATCAGCCCAATTTGGATCATTTAGTAGGCAAGCTTTCAACACTGTCTGTCGGGGCCAACTCGGGCTGAGAGGGGTACATTATTCAAGCAGAAAGACTGAGATACTCGATAGGAATTTTCTCCCCACTGGGGAATCGAGCCGGGGTCTCTTGCAAGTGACAGCTAAGCACCTAACCGCTACACCACTGACGCTGGTGCCTGTTGGTTTGAAAGACTTGAGTTTGTAGGATTTCACACTGTCAATTTTGACTAGGTTAAAAGAATCGTGGTTCTAACGACTTTGTTCACGGTAAATAGAAGAACAAAAATTACTGTCTTCTCAAGATACTTGTGAGGTAGCGTGGAGGAATCAGGCTTTCGTCAATTTTTGGGCATGTAGAGTTATTGGTATCATCTTGAAGCTTGTGTAATTGTCTTTATTTGTATGGAAAAAATATCCATTTATCTTGAATACAAGTCGAGATATTTGTGAATGAACGAGGTGGGGGTCACCTATTTTCAGAGGCAAAATTAGTGAGAAAAAGGCCGCCAAAGATTAGTTATTTCCTAAGCTTAAGAGTCCCTGGTAACTGAAAATTTACCTTTTTTGTGCCTGTAATCAACGTTTTTCAGAAAATTCACACAGAAATGAGTTCTTTAATGGGGATGAAAGGTGCTGAGCCAAAAAACAAAAATTCGATAAAAATTCACAAACCTACGAAAAAATGCAAGTTTCTTAACTTTGATTATTTTGACGAGAGCCTGATTCCACCACACTGCTTCACCTATGATACGATGATATACAGTAAGATAAGATAGTATAAGATAAAGTCATATACGGTAAGATAAGATAGGATAAGATAAGGTCATATACAGTGAGTTAAGATAGGATAAGATAAAGACATATACGATAACCGTTAGGGCTTATCTCATATTGGTTATCTGCTGTCAAAAAAGGTGCTTTCACCAGCAACACAAAATGTATCATTCTTATTATGAACATTTTAATTATGATTATAGTTAAAATTATAATTATAGTCACTATAATTAGTTTTGTTATTATATATACTGTATAGACTCATATCAACGCTTCACAATCCAAGCTATTTCTCTCTCTCTCTCTCTCTCTCTCTCTCTCTCTCTCTCTCTCTCTCTCTCTTCCCCCCCTCTCTCTCTCTCTCTTTTTCTCTCTCCCTATCCGTCTCCATTTCTCTCCGTCTATCAATTTCACTATCTATCTATCTATCTTACTTTGGCTATCTGTTTCTTTTTCTTTAGAAAGTAGAGTAAAATAATGGGTCATGTCCGATTTAACCAGGGGCGAAACGTCTACAAAATCAAATAATCACTGCTTCCCTGTCTGAATGTAGGAATATTTTTGCAGTCAAATTAACCCATAAACCGTGACAGAAAATGGCCTTATAGATTTAAATATCTGTAGTAACAGGCGTTCAGGAAATCACCAAAGAGCAGTGTGCACAACACTCCAAACTGAGACTGCTTCAGTTCGTCATAAATTCATGTACCCTGTTCATTCACTCCTTTCGGCCCACTCTCATAAGCAATCACAAGCACTGGTTATGTAAGCTAACAATTAAACTGGTAGAGTCTACCTAAAAAGGTCGGGGGGTGGGTGGGGGGATTAACTCCTAATAATGTTATGACTGCTATAGATGCTTGCTTTGTCCTCGACTTTTGACCGCCCTTTAATCAGGATATTGAAGATCATCGTCTCCTGGCCGCAAAAGGCTAAAAACCACAGCCATATTTGAAACTAAATTGATCATACATTGGAAGTATTGTCATCTCTGCTTTTTTTACTTCTGTTTGTGCATCCACATCTTTAGTTACATTTACTGTTTAAAAATCTTGAGAACATTATTCCTACCGCACATTAAAAAGATATTATTTAGTTTTGCCCAAAGTGGGAATTAAAATTAGTAATGACATATTTTTTTCAAGTATTTATGGCGGGTCAACACACAACATGAATTCACGATTTGTTTTGATTCAGGATTCAGAAGCCACCTTGAATAAGACCTTTTGTTAGAGTGTTCCTACTGTGGGAATAAGCTTTTCGTTTTTGGCCTCATCTCTATCTGGTTCTGTGCCTCACTTTGATTATCCTGTCAAACAAGGCAGCATTCGCCCCTGGGGAAAAAATTGTCTGAAATTCTACTTTCTGATTACATAATATTTTCCCCAAAACTGGAGACAGTCTTTCAGCAGAAATTTGAACATGTGATGGTTGTAAAATTCGTCTTTATGTCCGTGCCTCCAGTTTGACCCAGGCACCGTCCTTAGGCGCCAATCGAAACTGCTCAAGAACCACTGGGTACTTCGACTGTTCACAGCGGACTAGGCTAAACTTCTGCAAGATAGCCGCCACTGCAACTTTTGTCTCCAACAGGGCCAGTCTCATTCCGATACAGTTGCGGGGACCCTGCGGGGGAGGAAAAAAAGGAGGCGATGTTAGATTTTTTTAAAGTAAGAATGTTACGGCACTTGCAACACAATTAGCTTTTATAATATTATGTATTATAAGTGGGGAAGATTAAATGTGGTGGTGGACAATTACCCCCCCCCCCCCCCCCCCCCATTTCGACACATCGTGGTATAAGATTTTTTTAAAGTGTTTTTTTCACGTAAAAAGTAAGTAAGTTATGGAGAATAAAGTACCAAGAAAAGAAGAAAGAGAGATAAGGCTGATAGAGAAATTTGACAGGAACAAAAAAGTGAACCACACCAGAGCAACCGCCAACAACCTGGCAGGGTTAGGCTGTGGAAAGGGGGCGGGCGGTGAGTTGTGGAGGTTTGAAAACATAGAAAGGAAAGTAAGTATGTTGTGTTAAGGGCACTCTGTCTCAGATTGAGGGGTTTTTGTTTCCGGTGTTGTAGAACAAAGCGAAGAATGGATTGCCCCAATTATTTTGAACTTTGTAGACCTTTGACAGCATAGGCTGAGAGCACCTGTGGAAATTTCTAGCAATGTATAGCATCCCAACAAAACAATAAACTGTATAAGATTATTATATACCAAAGCAAGCTGCTATGTCTTAGTTAAAGGAGACCTATCTACACCTTTTGAAATAAATGCTGTATATTATCACACGTGCGTTGGGAATTGTGATATGTTTTTTTAATAACACAGAGCAAAGAAATTGAAACAGGCATTGAGTGGACAAATGGCACATATTTAGCCAATTTAGATTTTGTGGATGACATCTGCTTATTAAACACCACTATAATATAAAATGCGAAAAAACAAACAAACAGAAAAACAACAATAACAACAACAACAACAACAACAACAACAACAACAACAACAACAACAACAACAACAACAACAACAACAACAACAACAACAACAACAACGAAAACCTCCCCCAAAAACAAAAAACAAAAACAACACAAAAACCCCCACTAAAAAACAAAACAAACTAGGCTTGCCATATTATTAGCAAAACGAAAGACAGCAGATGGACACATTAATAAAGCACTGAACGGGAACCAAGAACAGCAAAAAGATAATGTGGAAGATCAGAAAGAAGAGGTTGCTAGATGAGATAACAGAGCAGACAGGTACAACACATCATCATCATCATCATCATCATCATCATCATCATCATCAGCAGCAGCA